TCCTTCCTTCCTTCCTTCCTTCCTTCCTTCCTTCCTTCCTTCCTTCCTTGCTTCCCGCACCAATCTGTTTCATCTTATATTGGAAAAATACAATGTGACATCTGGAGAATAAATTGTTCAGTCAGCCAGAAATACGCCTTGTAAAAATTGCTTAGGTTTCTGTAACAAGATTATTTACTGCAACTGTTCACTGATAATACACTACATTTTTGAAATGGACCTTTTATGAATCACATCAAGGTCTGTGGAAATGTATTCAGTGTATTAATCTACAACACTGCACATTTTATACCACTTCTGGAATGGAGTTTGAAACTCTAAACATTGGACGAGGCATAGTTCTTTATAGCACATATATGTGAGTTGTAAGTACTATACTGTATGTCTTTGCGTGATGTTTATGCTAAATGTTGTGGATATTTATTTAGCAAAAGGTAACAGATTTGTTTCAGAAGCCTATAGAAGTGATTTCTTCTGATGAGCAGTAGACATCAACAATTATTTCACCTAAATTAAGAACATATTTTCATACATATTTTATCTGTCATTGTATTCTCAAAGATCTGCCATGAAAAGCCCTTGGCAAACATTTTTGGATGATCTGATCCATCACAGCCACCAATGATGTCTGTGATAGATCAGATTTAAGATGGAGATGTAGACCACATCAATATTGGTCTAGAGGTTTCAAACCTCATTAAGATCTCTTCTGACAGTCACAAGGATTGTGGAAATCCTAAACCTTTTATAAGGTACTTCTTTATTTATGGAACACTTAAATATCTCAGCAGATGAGAATGCTTAGGGATATTGTCCCAATACTTATAGGCAGCACAAACTTGGGGAAGACATAAATATAGTTTTCTGAACAGGAGAAACATCTACATTATAATTTTTCATTGCAGCTCCCATACCTAGTTTCTGCTCCTCTGTAAACATCAAACTAAATTTCCTACCACATGCTTGTATGAAGGCCAAAGTTAGCCATAATTACTAGGGAGATCTTCAGATTTGCATATAATTTGAATCTAATTAAATTTGCATACCACCCTCCAAAGGTATAGTCAGATAAGTCTGTTCCAACAACATAGATTTATTAAATTTATTATACAATTTTTTTTTCCACGGAAGAGCATCCACTTCATCACTAATACAAGGTGTAGCATCAACTTTGCATCTAAAAGAAAAAAAAAATCTGGCTGAAGGTTGGATGCCATTTCATTTTAGATTCAGTGCCTAATAAAGGTAAAGCAGCTAGTCAGTTTTAACAAGAGAAGGGCCTACTTACAGCCAGTCCCCGGGTTATGAACAAGATCCATTCCTAAGTCTGTCTTTAAGTCAAATTTATAGGTAAGTTGGAACAGGTACATACAGTTCTTATTTAAAGTCAGTTACAGGTAGTCCTCAACTTGCGACCATTCGTTCAGCAACTGTTCAAAGTTATGGCAGCACTGAATGAAGGGACTTATGACCTGTGCCCGAAATCCTGGCTGTTGTAATGTCTCCATGGTCACATGATCAAAATTTGGGCACTTGGCAGCCTGCCCACACTTACAACTGCAGGGGCATTTTAATTCCACCCGCCCACTTATCTCCCCCCATCTATGCCCTTTTTCCCCCCATCACCCTGCGTTCTGCCGTCTCAGCTGACCTTCACTGTCTTCTTGCTCCCACTGATGAGGCATGTCTATCCATTTGTCCATCTGTCTACCTGTTTGTCTGCCTGTCCATCCATCTGTCCTTCCATCTGTCCATCCATCCATCTGTCTATCAATTTATCTGTCTGTCTGGCTGTCTGTCCATCCATCTGTCTGTCCATCTGCTTGTCTGTCTACCCATCCATTTTTCTACCTGTCTGTCTGTCCATCTATCTGTCCATGGCTTCAGGCCCATGTGTGGTCCTTAGGGGTCATCACATTTGATAACTTTTGTTGCAAGTATCATATGTCCCAATACTGAACACCCTTGCTAACTAGGAAATTGGGGCCACCTCTCCAGCGTCTCCCTCACCCATTTATCGACTATGCTGATGTCTTCAGACCAGCTCCCACCACAGAGGCCCTACAATTGCCCCATTAATCTGGTTCCTGGGGCCAAACTTTCAGTAGGCCAATTATATTCCTTATCAGAACCAGAATTAGCAGCCCTCAGAGAAAAACTTGAAGAGGACTTTATACAACCCTGCTCTTCTCCAGTGGCTGCACCTGTGCTGTTTGTTAAAAAGAAGTCAGGTGAACTGAGACTATGTTGTGATCACAGAAGATTAAATAATATTACCATCAAGAACTGGTACCCTCTACCGTTAATCCCAGAGCTCCTAGAACATTTGCATAACACTCAGGTCTTCACCAAACTGGATATATAATCTAATCTAGTAAGGAAATCTACCTTTCATCCCAGATATGGATACTTCAAATACACAGTCATGCCATTCGGATTGTCCAATGCTCCTGGAGTCTTCATACACTTCATGCATGTGTTCTGGGATCTCCTAGATAGTTATATTTTACCTTTACCTTGAAGTAGGCCTCAAGGGAGGTTTGTACAGAACTTTTCTTTTTCTCATCATAAATGGCCTTGTAGCAGCTGAGGCCCTCAGTAACTGTACAGTAAGCTTTGGTGAACCTCTCTGTATTAGGATCTTGCTCCCTTAACTTTGCTGTCCTTGCTTCAATGAGACAAAAGGCTTCAACTAACTCTTCCGTTAAAAAAATGTTAGTTCTGGAGTATTTAGGTCCCAGTCTGTCAGCCCTCCCAGGTAAACCAGACAGGAAACACAACTAGATGGGCTACTCATACTTTATTGTAAGGCTACATTAACAGAATCTTGCAAGTCTGAAAGTACAAATCTCCCGCCCTCCCTATTTACCACCTGAGTAGTTAGGGCAGGTCCTTCCCAAGTTTCTTTCTCCGGCCGTTATTCTGTTGCAGACTCCTTTCTCTTTTATCTAATCACTCCCTAGGCAGTACCTCTTCCCCCTACCTTCCAAGGTCACCCTCACATTCCATCACACAGTCTTCTTCCTCAAATACTATCATCTACTGCTCTGATCGCTTTCTTATTTCCACTTTATTTTCAGTCGTGATTGTTTTCTTTTTCTTTGATGTATCACCAGCACTGGTATTGAATTTACACTTTAGAAGCATGGTTACAAGGGTAAATAAGAGAAAAATGTAAGCAAAATGCAAAGTTATACACTCAACACAGTGTTAATGGCAACATGGTCCAACTTAAAATGGCAGACGGCATTCTCCTTCCTCAAGCTGACGAACCACTGAAGCTGTCCAATGTTTTCATGAGTGTCACAAAGTAGCGTTTGCATTTGTTATTACAAACCATTGTATTTAACTCAAATTTTTAATATAATAAGCTTTACGGTAGTCCGTTCATAAGTACGAGTTGTTCGTAACTCCGACGTTCTTAACCTGGGGATTGCCTGTACTGTATTCCAAAATAGCACTAATACAGTTAGGTTCCAACTAACAATTAGATCTATAAATTAGCTGCTGTGCTAGTGCGAAGGTAATAACTCCTGGCACTAAAGAATAGCAGAATCAGACTCTGTGTTTTGTTTCAAAAGCACTTCCACTGAGGTTCCAAGATTCAAGCTGATATTGCTATTGATTAACACTTACTCTTCCATGAGTATTAAAGAAAGCAACAAACTCTTTCAGCATGAGGAGGAAGAAAAGAAAAAAGAAAGGAATATCACCCTTTGCTTTTCACATCTCTAACTGGGATGTTTGCATTGCAACTCACACAAAGGCAAAGTAATTAGAAAGCAATTGGTAGGAAGATCAATGGAGATTGGTCATTTATGTGCCAGTTAACCAATTGCAACTCAACCTGCTGGTGAATATGCAAGATTGAGTAAGGCTGTTTGGGCATGAGATCAGCTGAATGAAGCTTGCTGAAGAGATTGAGCTCCTTTAGATTTGCCTATTGCCTTGGCAATTTATGATTGACCAGCAATGACCTGGAGAGACAACATGAATCTGGAAAACTTCTTTCAAATTTGCAGAGCTGGGCTGCATATTCTGGATCTCTGACTGCAGGTCAAGGGTCAACATTCAGCATTGTGTGCAACTTTTATTTTAAAAAAATGCAGATGAAGGCTGGCCTTACTTGGAAGATGAGACAGACCTGCTCTGGATAGCATCAGGCCTGCCTATAAGAGAGGGGTAGCTCTGAGCTTAAAGTCTTTGAAGACTTCAGAGCAGTTCTGGACTTTTCTGCAAAGGATAGAAGGAAAGATGACCATTGTCCTCTCTTTTTTTTTCCCCAGTTGTGGTCATTATATTTTATGATTTCTTTCTGGTGTTGGGAAAATGTCTGGTGATCTTAGACCCTCATCCTTGGTTCAAACACTGCATGGTTACAGTGAAGACATTCACCCAGGGGCCAAAGGGCCTCGACCTTTAGTAGTAAAGGGTCAATGTTCTTCTCTTGGAACTTCTGTTTTTAGCCATGTTTTTATGGATTGTTGTGGGCTGCCTAGAGTCATTCTATGAGATAGGTAGCTATAAATCCTGTAAATTAAATAAAATAAAAAACACATAAATAAATAACCAAGCTATCTACAATTGCAAGATTGTAGAGATTTTACAAGAGACTTTCCATACTTTGGTGGATCTGTCTACGCCAGCGTTTCTCAACCTTAGCCACTTTAAGATGTGTGGACTTCAACTCCCAGAATTCCCCAGCCAGCATGGCTGGCTGGGGAACTCTGGGAGTTGAAGTCCACACATCTTAAAGTGGCCAAGGTTGAGAAACACTCGTCTATATTATCTTGAGTGCAATAGAAGGAAATGCAGATACATTTTCAGTCCTAGCATCATTTTCAGATTTTGGGAGCAATGTCTTAATTTGCCCTGAAATTGTAAAGAAACTCTTTTTTAAAAAAAAGACATAAATATTAAATAAATGCTTGGTGCACATACCAAATGGCACTGACTGGAAAATGAAGAATGAATGTGAAGAGAAATAAAAAGATTTACTGTTCAGGGCTTGACCACGTGAAACAATGCTCCACACATCCAAAGTAATGAAATGAAATTTACTCTGAAATGAAATTTACAGACTGTAAAGATTGTCCTTTTGTTCTCTTCTTCCCAAAGTGTAGCAGAGTCATTTTTTGGGAAGCTCCCAAAATCTGAAATTATAATAATATAGTGATTAAATCTGAAATTATAATAAATAGGAGACCTAGCTGCTCAGACTTTGCTGCAGGAACAGGAAAGGGGTTTCGCTTTTTTAAGAAAGGCATTTTTTAACATGAGAGACACCAGAGGAATTAATTTCATATTTTCAACCCAGCAGCTTGAGAACTTCCCCCCACCAAAAAAAAAGTTGGTACATTCTCTGCTGGAAGTACAACATTTGGATTGTCAGTTTGACTCGCTTGAAGAAGGGCATGCCATGAATTGTCAACTGCAAATAATTAGCATTGGTTATGAACTATTAATCATGGCAAAATCTTTTTATTTGGTGCAGTGGTATAATAAGCCACCTGTGTCTGCCAATTTGAGGGAGAAAGACCCATAGGATGCAGAAGTTGGAACTGTATTAATTCAAGCAGCAGCTTGTAAGGGTTGCTTTCCTCAAAACATGACTGAACAAAGCACTCCTTTGCAACTTTGCTCACTCCAATCTTTATTCTTCACGTCCTATAATTTTATATTCCTGACTGGGAAATACGTCCTCAAAAGAAGATTTTGCTGAGTTGCCTCACCAACTTTGAGGTGGCTTTGAGAACGGCTGACTGTAACATATTTGGCTTTTGAAAAATAATAGGGGTTTCTGTTGTTTTTGTTGCCACTTTTGGGGCTGTTTTATTATCATTTTCCTTTCTTATATGCCCCTTTGAAAGTTGCATGAGTGATAGAAATTTAAATATAAATAAAACACACAGTCGGCATTCACAGACCATTACATCTTGGCTCCTTCCCCATAAGCCATCTGTCAAGATGGCACCATGCCTTCTTGCAAGATGAGATGCCAACTTTAGGTGGGGGAACAATGGAGAGAGGTAGACCCTCATTTCAAGCTGCTCCTCTTGAGTGGGAAAAAGTCATATATTTTTTTAATAACCTCTGACCTTTGCTATATCCGAGGGGGAAAAAAGCACTACATACTGTGGATTTGAACTGAATCTTTACTGCATCACTTAAAAATAAGAGAGGCCAAAAGGAATGGAGAGGATGAAGCTTCTGAAAGTCTATAACAGGGTTTCTCAACCTCAGCAACTTTAAGATATGTGGACTTCAACTCCCAGCATTCCCTGGGAATGCTGGGAGTTGAAGTCCACACATCTTAAAGTTGCTGAGGTTGAGAAATCCTGGTTTGTAGTAAGGGTGTGACTGTCTTACTATAGAGAGCAAAAGTGAATCACCTGCAATGATTTGTCTTGTCTTGCAAATTCACCATGAATTGGGAGTGGGCCTTTGAAACAGCCAGGTGCTGATCCTGTTAGCCTTCTGGAAGGCCTTGAAGATCGGGCTTTTTCCTCAGGTGTAGAGGCCAGGTTATTAGGTGAGCTCAGCATCTATGGGATTTTGACGGTGAGACAATTTTTAGGTGGTTGAGTTACATTGTAATATTGTCTTTTAGGAAATATTGTCTTTTGTGTTTTATGTACTCTGAGTCACAAGGTTGAGATGGACGGTCATATAAATTCTATCAATTAATCAATCAATCAATCAGTCAGTTCAACCAATGACACTAACCACGTAGCAAGGCTGAT